GCTCATTCGGGCAGATTTTTTGGAACTTGATATGAAACAGAGAAAGCTTCCTCTATTTTGATATGATGTTCACTATCTATCAAGTGAGAAAGAATGGTGCTGTTAATGGGTTTGGTAACTCCTCTTCCCAACCATGCTGGTACATGTTCACGAACACGCAAGGCTAAAGCCTTCTGAGTACGGCCTATGTAATTAGCTCCACAGGAGCAGTTGAATTGATATACACACATGGAGGAGCCCATCTTCGGTAACCTGTCCTTGATTAGTTGTGTGAGTACTGGTTTAGTTGAGAAAATTATGTGTAGCTTGGCGGCGTGAAACGTCCTTTCAACAGATCTTTTGAGTCGACGTGTTAAAATATCACCCGCTATGTCCCCTTTAAAGTCTAGTTTTAGATATAAGGTCTTTTTGCTGACTGCGTCACAATTCCTTCATTTTTTTAGTACTTTGTCCGAGGTATTTTTGGACGAAATTATCAGGATAGCCATTATTTCTTAATGTGTTCTTCAGTATATCTATTTCGCCATTCACACTGTCTTCACAACATAATAACTTGATTATGTGGTTGAGACATTAAACCAAATTTATTTTATATTGAAGACGTGTGAAGCTTTGGAAACGGGTATACTATAATGCCATAATACTATTATACTTATGGTGACTGTACACTTTACTCCAAATCATCCTGACCTTTATTGAATGGCCTATCTAATTTGCAAATAATACAATTTTGAAGTATATATACATCGTAACAGATGCAAACGTGCACCATTTTTTAACACGTAACATTGTCAAATTCATTAAAACATGCCTTATTTTTGGCCTTTGTAAAAATATCACAATCATTATGGACTTATAACTATAGAGCCTGATGATGAAGTGATTGCAGAAACAATTATTCGCTCAAATATTCTTCATTTTTGAATGTATTCTCTATGGGGATTTTTAAACAATAGATTTGATGAATATAATAAGATGATTAACATATTTGTTGTTATAGTAATTAAAAGTCATAGGGGTGTAGAAATAAATATGGTGATATGATGAGTATTCACGAATAAAACAATGAGAATATAACACATAGGTAAAGGGGGGAATGCAGTAATGATAATAATAATAATAATAATAATAATAATAATAATAATAATAAAATAATAATAATAATAATAATTGGATAATCAAATTACTTAAGGCCAAGGTAACAATAACGATAAGACGTACTTCTTTTGTACACATAGTTCTGGTTTAAGCTCCTGGATGGTAAGAGCTTCGGTTATTTTTAACTGTGTTCACATTTCCTCACGGAATTGGTACTTTTACAAAAACAAAATTTTCATAAATTGTATTGTTTAAAATACTCATTCAGTTCTTTCAATAATAATAACGATGCATGTGATATTAAAAAACAGGTTTAAACAAGAGATAGGTTCCAAATTTTACTTGTCAAATGAAATTCGCCAGGTAGTTGTTGCCAGTTGAATACCATCTTTTCGGTTCAGGCTGTTCTTGTTCGCCCATATATGCAGCGCTTCTGCTGTCAATCTTTCTTTATGGGTGTTAAAACATTTCTGAAGTATTTTGGTCCCTTCAAAATAAATCTTGTGTCCTGTTTTTAACGCATGTAACACTATCGCTGGCCTATTTTCAAGTTTCTTTAAATCGACCGAGGATTTTGGAACATTTTTCAAGCATTGTTTATGTTCCTTCAATCTTACATTCATTTGCCTGGATGTTTCTTCAACATAGGTAGCATTACAGTCTTGACAGTGAAACTCATACACAATGTTCTGTTGTTCTTCCTTTGCTAATTTGTCCTTAACTTTCACTAATGTCGATCTTAATGTGTTATTCGCTCTAAAACACACTTTTATATCATGTTTGTTTAGAATCTGTTTTAAAGAAGATTATTAAAAATGATAGAAAAACTAAACTAGAAAGTATACGAAAAGAATGCAAGTACACTGTAGTCATACCTTACCGTAGTGAAACATCAGAAGAAATCAAACGGATTCTAAACAAACAATTTAGAGCGAATAACACATTAAGATCGACATACAAACATACATAACTACACACTCACACTCACACACATACAACTTGGTTACTCAGTTAAGTGTTTCCATGTAGTTGAATTCTTCACATGATTTGTAGTTAACTGACTCATTTTATCCTATTTTACACAAAAAAAAATCAACATCCAAATATGGTTGGCTTAACACAATATAATTCTGATTGTTAAAATGCTATATATTTCTTTGATAATTTTGATTTTGATGATTATCCTGATATGAAGTCCAGACAAGTTAGCTGGACGAAACGTTTGGAATCAGTTAAATTTCAATTGCTGAGAATATTTCAAATATCATTTTCACATATAATGACTTATTTCTTTGTTGTTTTTTTTCTAACGAATTATTATGTCTACTGATTACATAACCTATTCAGGCGCGTTTATGAAAAGTTTACAACCTTTCATTGTACAACTTACAAACGAACCTGATCAGTGACATCGTAGTTGCTGGTAATATGCACCGAAAAAAAAATGTACATTATTCAGATGCTCATTCCTGAACTGCTAATATCTAATCTACTACTATTATTATTATTAATGGTACAATATAGAATTCTCAGCACTAGGTATTTCAACAAGCCTCTTTTACAAAAAAAAAAGAAAAGAAAAAAAGGTTAAAAGGAATCTGAAAACACTGTACAACTTACCAAATTAGAGACATGTTAAGAATGCAGGTTATTGATTAGGTTAACTCGAATAACCTGTTCGTCACAGAGTGTATTTGATAGGTTAAGGTATTATATAGAACTTTTATACCTTTGCATGTATGGATGGATTTTAATGTAATTACGTCTCGTTATACCAGAAGATATACAAGGACAAAGATATGAATGAAGGAGATGGTTAGTACCTGATATGATAACATCTGCCAGGAGTTTGCATGACTTTAGATGTCTTTCCACAACCATATTCATTATGACCTCAAAAGATTCACCATACACCTTGCTAAATGCCTTCAGCATTCTCAAAAGCTCGGGAAAAAATAATGGAGAACAGTAAAGTATAATAGATAATATGCAAGAATTGACAAATTGAAAGAGTAAATGACGAGTAATCCCAAAAGCAGGCAGTCTCTTTATGTGGTAAGTCAGACGGAAAACTTTCTTCGATAACAGTAAAACATGAGAAGACCAAGAAAGATCAAAGGAAAAGGTAACACCAAGGTAATTGATCTTCGAAACCGTATTTATCAAAGAGCCTCCAATGGCACAAGCTTTATAGAATCCCAAAGTGGTATTTAGATGCCGTTTATGTCTCATGCTACAGTTAACAGCTTGACATTTAAACGGATTAAGTATGAGACCGTTAACAACAGACCAACAATCAGTACGAGATAAAAACTCATTTATTCTCTATGGGATGTAAAGAGGTAGAGATTACAAACGTAGCTACACCACCGTCACACCTCTTTTTATTGTTTGGTCAATCCTGACGATAAATATTCAAATCACGTAGTGATACTAAGCAATCGTCTTGTAAATCATTTAACCAATATTCTTGAATTGTGATGATACCACAATTACGATACATATTTTGACATAATAAAAATTAAGGATAATTCACCTTGTTAATTAGTGATCGACAGTTAGAATTTGGTAGCTCAGGAATCGACATACAATTAATGTTCATTCTTTTCAACGCGTATTGCCAACCACCGCGATATCTTTTATTATAATCTAACTTATTTATTTTAACACATAGATATTGGTACAAGAAAGCACCAAATACATATGCGCCACACAAATCTCATTCGATATGTGTGAGGGCTGTGATACTGCCCGGGTGCCCAAACCGAACCAGGTGGTTTTCTTAGGCGACCACACCCGGAGCCTTCGACCTACAGGCCTGATCCACAAGACAGTGGAGCATCGTGAGTAGATACAGTCTCATGGTAGCAGGTGACCAACGATTGGTTCATACGCCACGAGAAGTCTGTGATTAGGACTTCCCTGGCGGAGGCTATATACGTGTGGCCATGTGAGAGCATTTGGAGAGGGAGAGCGGACTCTCCTCACTCTCGGACGTACCAGGGCATTTGGGGGCATGTCTTTTATGATAATCTTACTACCGATCACTTAATTTGTTATCGTCAGCTATCGATCATAAAATAAAAAATAGACAATTTGTTGAAATACTATTTTTATGTCCGGATAAGCATAATGAATGGTAACTGTTGGGATCCATTTATGGATCAATACTATACGCATACATTTTATAATTTTAAATGACTAATATCATATTCGTGTTCCTCTACATATGAACTAGATTAAGAGCTCTTACTTCATGAATTTTTACGACGTTAACTGGTAAAAGACGCATCGATTTACAAATTATTCAAGAATTTCATTATTCATGGAAAATCACTTAACATTACATGAAGTTTCATTTACAACTCTACATTGATAATGTTAATTGTTCTTGTTTTTTAAGCTAAAGAATAAAGCTGTTATGCCCACATGTTACTTTGGATCCATTTATGAACCAGTACTATGCGTACATTTTTATCGTATAATTGTTAAATAACTAAACTAATCATATTCGTGTTCCTCTTGTCATAAGCTTTATTTGATCTATGACTGTTTTATACTGATTTACCATTCTTGAGTTATGACCTGTCTATCAATTACTATCTCCCACATTCACAGCCACTTATTGGTTAGATCTTGTACAAATGTTATTTTCTATTTTATGGTGTGGTCTGTCTGGTTGTTGAAATAAATGATTCATATCACAGAAGCTGAGATTGGTGTTCTGAACTTAACTGGTTGAGCTAAGCAGGAAGCAGGATCGATAAGTACCTTAGACTGCTCGCAGAGGTTTTATGCATCATTGATCCGATCGATAATGCACTGCTCTCTAATTGGCAGTATCATCACATTATATATTAACAGGGTACACAGCCCACAAGATATAACAACCACGTATTGAGAATTCTATCTTATACCAACAAAAATATTAAAAAACGATCACATTAAATCAACCCATTAATAAATCAATAAAAGTACTACTTTTTTCTTTTAAATGTGTATTTCTTTATATCTTTTCTTTTCTTTATTGTTGTCGTTGTGGTGGTGGCTGTGGTTGTTGCTGAGGTGGTGATGGTGGTGGTGGTTGTTGTTGCTGTGGTTGTTGTTGTTGTTGTTGTTGTTTTAAGTCATCAATAATATTCATCATTAATTTAAAATCATCTTTATGATAATCTAATATTAATTTTATATTATTTTTTAAATTTATTATTTCATTATAATATTGTATTAATATAGTTTGATATTGTTTTATACATTTAATAATAATTTTCATTGAATATGATGATAATGAACATTTTTGAATTAAATTTTTAATATAATTATCATTGATAAGATAATGAAATAATCGTTCATTATTATCACTATCATTAATATTATCATTATTACTATTATTATTATTATTAGTAGTAGTAGTATTAGTAGTATTAGTATTATGGGAATCATCGGATTTTATTGATTTTTCATTGATTAAAAAATATTGATTTTTTACATTTGGTTTCACAAGAGTTTTTCTTGTTAATTCAGCATTTTTCTTTGAAAACAAAAACAAAAAAGAAAAAAAAGCAATAGAGAAATATATATGTTATGATCATTGATTTTTAATAATATTGTGGTGTGTGCTACTTAATATGGATATAAGTAGTAATATGACGCGAGTCAGAAATGTAATGTCTGGCAGCAGTAGAAGATGGAGGAAGATTAAGAAAGAAAAAAACCGGGAATAGAAAGTAATTAGTATAGAAATGTAAGAACAATGAAGTTGGAGACAATTATTGAACATTTTGCAAATTAGGTATTATAGTATGGTTTTTTTTTATATTTTACTAAGTAACTCTGTAATGTTGTGCTAAATATAATTCGGTTGTCCTCACCTGTGTTCTCCTTCACTATAATACTATGATAATTATAAAGCACGTTGTGTAGTTTTCAATGAATAGTGTATGTTTTCATTATAAGCGATTGTAGAGATTATTCATTTTAAATTTTCTGGATTGTAATACGAATTGGTTTTAGTTAGATAATTGTTGAAAATTATGAAGCATTGGATAATTGTTTTATTCAAGTAAAAGATTCCTCAACAGTTCATATTTATGACCCCATCTAGGATAGATTTCAGGCCTTGTGGAAAGTATTTAACCTTCATACCACTAAGTTGCTCCCCGCCAAAAAATGCCTTAGTATGGCCGAGAGTGGGGAGAGTTAGCTCTCCTTCTAGAAATGCTGTCACATAGCCATGTGTATACAGCTATACTACCACGGAAGTCCTACTCGCTGCCCTCTCGCAATGGGGATATTGTTTACGAAATTGAGAGAACGAAAAGCGAATGTTCGGCACTTTAACCGGGTTAGTGGATACGGAGAGTTTACCTAGGGGAGTTGGAAAACAATGATTCCAAACCAATGGTGTACATGGGCTCCAGTATCCTGAAGGAACAAATGGCGTATGAACCAATCGTTGGTCACCGGCTACCATGGGATTGCATCTCCTGACGTTGCGCCACTGCCTTGTGGATTAGACATTTAGGTCAAAGGCGACGAGTGTGGCTCCCTAAGGAAACTACCTAATTCGATCTAGGCACCCGGGCAGTATCACAGCCGTCACACAAATCAAGTGAATTGTGTGGTGCATATGTACTCGGTGTCCCTTTGTACCATTATTTATGTGTTTGAATAAATAAATACCATTGATTTGACATACAGTGGTTTGTAATTGCAACTTTAATTATTTCGCGATATCGAGTGCTCTTTATCCATTAACTCTCGTGATATTTGTCTGATCCCTAGCATTTTCGATCTCAAAGGATCAAATTTTCTCGCTAGAGCTCTAAGAGCTACCTCTTTAAGTTACTCACTAGCGAATGCACAATGATTTTTATATTAATAAGTGATTTTGTAGTAGCATATCAGTTATATTATGGTTTGCACCATGAACTTACTTCAGTTCCACCTCGGTATTCTACTCTTATAGAGTCTTGTATAGAATTGCTTCAATCCCTAACAAATTTGTGGATTTTGTTGCCTATATAGTTCCAGAATTAGAGAAACGGGTTGACCAGCATTTACTGGTCCAATATCTGATGTTTCATTAAAAAAATCATTTTCAGCTATATACAAATGATAAACCAGATAGTTGGCTTTACGTAAAGTTAGTGCTTACGAAGAAGAGATAATATTCAAACCATTACTGGAAATCGTGTAGCGACAAATAGATTTTACAATGTAGTTCAGGAGCCTTCTCGAAATATCCATCAATAATAGTACATGCGATTGAAACTAGCTTCAGGACTCCATAGCGAACACGATACTACTAAAGTAAAACGTAATAGCTTCAATCAATCCGTAATGATTTTATCATAAAAACCGGTTGAATTGAATTAAGTTTCTATAAACGTCCCTAATATAACCTATACTCCTACTCAAGTTAACTGGATTTCTATACGTATCCAGTTAGCCTTCCATTTACCTGCCGGTCCCAGTAGTGTAATATTCCAAAACGCCTTTTAGATGTCCATCTCCTAATGTAATGATACATTAGACGTCTAGACTATGTACTTCGCACGAAGTAGAACAACTGACTTGTATCTAAGTCAATGAAAAACTAAATGTATACATATGTTAACTATACTTAGCTACTATCGTATGACCCGACGCATAATATATGTTTATATGGGATTCAATTGGCAAAAAGTTAATTATTCTCTAAATACAGATGTAGTATCAATCCATGAATTGGTTGACTTTCAGACCAATGCATTTCATATCTTTCATTCGGACATGATTTTTTATGTTTAACTTTCCATTACAGATGATAATATATCATCTGTTTCCCACTTTAAATTGTAATGCTGTTAAACAAATTCATTTTACAAAATCACAAGTACAATACTCATCTTTTTAATTATTCAAAATTATCTATGTATTAAAGAGGAAGAATGTTGTATTTGTGAAAATCACAACGAATGAATTTGAAGTTAAACCAAAGTTTCCTTCAAAAAAAAAAGCTTGAACCAAATTACTAGGCGAAACATCTCACATCAACTTGACGCCCAAATACTATGAAACTATTCAATTACATTTAGATGAAAGTCAGTCAGTCAGCTACAACACAGGTTCAGGTATATATATGCATCGGTCCAAGTTGCCATACCTCATTAGCACAACAAGATGAACACTGGATTCATAGACGTAGTTACTTCAATAGGGGTAATATACAGAAGAAACATTGCATATAAAAGTATAGTACAGGGAGAAAGAATTAGCTCGTAGGAAGAAATTTATGAAGTAATTTTAATTTTTTAGTTGAAGGGAAGACAAAGAGTGTAAACACCTATACCATGTCACCAAGAGTCTCCAACCATTGGTTACGATAGTCACGCGGACCCCAACCAAGTAGTCTGAATCTACCAACATGGCTCAGACTAGAAGTTAGTGACTTCAAGCATTGATGCCACGTTTTGGTTTGTCCGCCCCTAATTCTCTTCCAACCGTCGCCAACACCGGTTAGCATCGTGCGCTGTGGTAATCGATGTTCATGCACACGCAACACCCGGCTCAACCATCTCAGTCGACAAACATTCAAAACCTCATCAACTGATTTACCATCATCCTCTAATACTTTACATCTAACCACACTATTACCTACCCAATGATTCAAGCAATAGATAAAAATTCTTATTTATTAAACTTACCATTTCAAGTTTCATTTTTTCATTGATAAGCTCATCAATTCTACATTCCATCGTTTCTATCAATTTTATTAATCCATCACGTTCAATTTTATAATTTTTAATATAATCCAAATCATAATGTGATGAATTCATTACATTAGATGGTATTTCATTGCTTGTTTCATGTTCTGATGTATTCAAATGTATTTGATGATTTGTAGAAAGACGTTCATTCATATTGTCAATTAATTGGTTTTTCTCCATAATAATTTCCTATAATTTAAATCCAAATATTAGTGATTAATCATATTGTATTCTTAATAAATTAGTATAGATATAGAAGGTTAATTGACATTTGAATGACTTAACTCATGAAATGAAAACCAATTATGTAAGGTTAAGAGAATAATGAACTCGGATTTTCTTCCACTGAACTAAAAAAAACATTAATCGTTAAGATCATGGTTCAATTGAAGTTAGACTACTATGAGGTTATGAATCTTCATCGACTGAGATGGTTGGGCCACGTGTTACGTATGCCTGAATACCGATTACCACGACGTGCAATGCTATCCGGTATTGGAGATGGTTGGAAGAAAGTTAGGGGCGGCCAAACTAAAACGTGGCATCAGTGCACAAAGTTACTAACTTCTAGTCTGAGCCATGTTGGTAGATGCAGACTACTTGACTGGGGTCCGCGTGACTATCGTAACCAATGGTTGAAGACTCTTGGTGATATGGCTCAGAATCGATCACAATGGCGTCGGTGTATACACTCCCTGTCTTCCCTTAAACTAAGGGATTAAAATCGCTTCATATCTTTCTTTCTACGAACCAATTCTTTCTTCCTGTACTATATCTCTATATGCAATCTTTCTCTTACATATTACTACCTTTGACCTAACCACTGCTATGAATCCGGTGTTCATCTTGTTGTGCTGATGCGGTATGGCAACCTGGACCGATGCACATATGTGCCTGGTCCTACGTTGTAGCTGACTGACTGACTGACTGAGACTACTATGACAAACCTGGAAGCATTGGACGGCCGTTTCACTCTAGTATGGGACTCGTCAGTAGTGTGTATCCACGATCCGCCTCGCGAGATTCCAACCCAGGACCTATCAGTCTCTCGCGCGAGCACTTAACCTCTAGACCACCGAGCCAGTCGGCATCCAACAGTGTTAATGTCTAACTTCAACCAATCCACGAAATCGTGCCACTGTACACCATTGTCTTCAGTGAGCTGATATCTCACAACACACCTGGTTGAACTCCACTGGTCACGGCTTCCCACTAGAACTCCAGGAAATGCCTCCTGAAGTCAGTCACCAGTGAACAGATGATTACTATTAGAAGGGGTTTTGTGGATATTTTAGAAATTTCAATAGTTGAAATCATGAGTCAATTGAAGCTAGACCACCATGGAAAACATAGAAGCACTGGATGGCCGTTTCACTCTAGTATAGGACTCCTCAATAGTGCGCATCCACGATCCCGTCTCGTGAGATTTCAACTCAGGACCTATCAGTCTCACGTGCGAGCACTTAACCTCTAGACCACTGAGCCGGCATCCAATAGTGTTGACTCATGATCTCAACTATTAAAATTACTATAATACCCACAAAGCCCATTCTTATATTTTTAAAAAAACATTAGTTCAAAACAAACTGTCAGTTTCTCAAGAAAAAATATAGATTTATCTCTAAACATTATACAGATATGTGATTTATTCCTAGAATATTCCATAGTAAATTTCTATTAAACAAATAACTACCAAAATTTACTAGACTAAAGTATTCTAGAACTACTCATTATTATTCATACCAGTTTAAAAGTATTAATCCGCTTAAAAACTTTATTATTTTCAGGAATTTCTATGAAAATGATTTTCTTTTCGTAAGTTAATCACATTTTCTTCTCTGGATAATCATCCTTTATTATTTATTTTATTTATTTATTTGGAACACATAAATATTGGTACAAGAGGGCACCAAATATATATGCGCCATACCATATCTGTGTGTGGGCTGTGATACTGACCGGGTGCCCAGACCGAAGCAGGAATTGGTCACCACCCACCCAGTGATTAATCAATTGTGATTACATCTCAGTCCGAACAGGAGGTTAGTCACGTCCCGGATAGCTCAGTGGTAACGTCTCTAACTGTGAAGCTGGGTGGCACAGGATCGAATCTGTCAAGGAGCACCAGTTCCCTCAAAGATTACATGTACACCTTACTGACAAGTGCCAAGTAGCACGAAACCCAGGTCCAGGGTTTCCTGTCGACTACCTTCAACCACCATCTAATCTCAATATATAGTGCCCGCCGTGTCGAGTCACCTAGACTAGTGGCCACATTGCAACATGATCGATAGCATTCGATCTGCACTAATAAGGACTAGACACGCATGACATTGGTCATCACCCAGTGATCAATCAATTGTGATTACATCTCAGTCCTACAGGAGGTTAGTCACGTCCCGGATAGCTCAGTGGTAACGTCTCTAACTGTGAAGCTGGGTGGCACAGGATCGAATCTGTCAAGGAGCACCAGTTCCCTCAAAGATTACAGGTACACCTTACTGACAAGTGCCAAGTAGCACGAAACCCAGGTCCAGGGTTTCCTGTCGACTACTTCCAACCACCATCTAATCATACTTTACAACATTTCAGAAAGTAAATACTTTATTAACTCGTTTCTCATGTTTAATAATATTGTCTTTAATCGTCAATAACCTTTAAAATATCGGTAAAGATTGATTAGTATTGTTAACATTTCTAAGTTTCAAGTTTATTTTTTTTAAATAGGGAATTCTTCAAGTTGATCAACATAATTTCATAGCTTTGATTATCCTAATGGATAATGTTTGAGATGATCTAGAAAACTTCTAGCAAAAGCCACACAAAAAAATGCTCAGAAAAATACTAAAAAGCATTTTATCCAATCAGCATTCAGAAGAAATTAAAAAGTCACATGTCGAGTTTCTGATTGGCTGTTTACTATATTACTACTATATTTAGTAGTATTCCAGAATTTTCGGGGAACCCAAGGACATCTAAGATACTATACTAAGACGAACTTTGAGAGTAAAGTGCTTCTTGCATATTTTGTGTTTAGGTCGCTGATTCTAGCTTGGAGGTGACGAGACTAGCTTAAGGATCGAATATACCATTCAATCAACAAGATTTATCAAATAACATCAACAAACAGATATAAATTTTGTAATATTGATCAAAATGATAATGTAAACTTTTGCATCAACTATTTTCAGATCAGCGAATAAAAGAATATTTATCTAACTTATAAATCTATTACATCATTTCAAAATCTTCGTTTGACATTCTAAAAAAAGTAATAATAATAAAACATTTTTTGATTGAGACCATGAACCGATTGATGATGTTAGACCACCATTGAAGAAATGGAAGCACTAGAAAGCCGTTTCGTCCTCTTGTGGGACTCCTCAGCAGTGTGCATCCATGATCCCGCTGGCGCAGATAATCCGTGTCGGGTAGAAACAAGTGTCTACCTCAGTACAATGGAAGATGGTGGCGCAATTTCGTGGATTGTTTGAAGTTAGACATGGGCACCATTGGATCCCGACCGGCTCAGTGATCCAATAGGTTAAGCGTTCACGCGCGAGACTGATAGGTCCTAGGTCCGAATCCCACGAGCGGGATCGTGGATGAGCACTGCTGAGGAGTCCCAGTCAGTCAGCTGCAACGTAGGACCAGGCACATTTATGCATCGGTCCAAGTTGCCATACCGCATTAGCACAGCAAGATGAACACTGGATTCATAGACGTAGTTACTTCAATGGGGGTAATATATAAAAGAAAGATTGTATATAAGGATATAATACACGGAGAAAGAATTAGTTCATAGAAAGAAAAATATGAAGCGATTTTAATCTCTTAGTTTAAGAGAAGACAGAGAGTGTATACACCGACGCCAATGTGCTCGATTCTGAGCCATATCATCAAGAGTCTCCAACCATTGGTTACGATAGTCACGCGGACCCCAGTCAAGTAGTCTGCATCTATCACCATGGCTCAGACCAGAAGTTAGTGACATTGTGCACTGATGCCACGTTTTGGTTTGGCCGCCCCTAACTTTCTTCCAACCATCTCCAATACCGGATAGCATTGCACGTCGTGGTAATCGGTGTTCAGGCACACACAACAAGTGATTCAACCATCTCAGTCGATGAAGATTCCCAACTTCATCAACTGATTTACCATCATTCCCTAATACCCTGTGTCTAACCTCACTATTACTTATCCGGTGATCCCAGCAGACGCCAGCAATATTTCTAAGGCATCTGTGGTCAAATATTAGTAGCTTACGGGTCCCACAATTGGACGAAACGGCCACCTAGTGCTTCCATGTTTACAATGGTGGTCTAACATCATCAATCGGTTCATGATCTCAATCAAGAAAAAAACTTAACAATATCCAAAACCCCTTAAACTGATCATGAAATATTTCACTTACTTCTAATTTTTTAATTTCTACATCTTTTATTTGTTTTAAATTCGATTGTTCTTCATTTAATTTTTCTATTTCATTTGTTTTTTCAATATTCATTTGAGTAATTCTGTTTAGTTGCTATCGTCTCGCGCATCCCAACCAGGTAAACTACACCTACCAACATGGCTCAGTCCACATGTCAGTGACTTCAAGGATTTGTTCCATGTTTTGGTCTGACCGCCCCTAGCTTTCTTCCAACCTACTCCTAGACCATGAAACATCTCTCATTGGAGCAGTCGGTGGTTAGGCATACGTAACACGCGTCCCAGCCATCTCAACTGATGAAGTTTCACTACTTCATCAATTGATTCGCCATTCTTACCTAGTACCCGTTTCCTAATAACTGCATTACTTACTCGGTGATCCCAGGATATACGAGCAATGCTTTGAAGACACTTATGACCAAATACTAGTAACCCATAAATATCCTCTACTCTCACCAGCCATGTCTCATTGCCATAAAGTAGGATGGAACGAACTGCTACTCAGTAAACACGTCCTTTGGTTGGTAGACGGATATCACGCCTGAAGCTCTAGTGACAAGCAATCACCAGTGGAATTCAACCAGCTCTATTGTGAGATAGTAACTCACAGAAGACAATGGTGGATATGTCGCTCAATTTCGTGGATTAGTTGAAGTTAGATATTAACACCATTGAATGCGGGCCAGCTCAGTGGTCTAGAGATTAAGTGCTCGCGCGTGAGACTGATAGGTCTTAGATTCGAATCCCATAAGCAGGATTATGGATGCGCACTGCTAAGGGAGTTCCACAACAGAACGGTTCATGATCTCAATCAACAACAAAAAAAGTGAAACATTAGCTTACTTACTTGTAATTTTTGAATTTCTCCATCTTTTATTTGTTTGAAATTTAATTGTTCTTCATTTAATTTTTCTATTTCATTTGTATTTTCATTATTCATTTGATTTAATTTATTTAATTCATTTTGTAAATTATTTCTATGTTGTATTAATGATTCAATTAATTCATTATCATGTTTACTTTTATTTATTAAAAATAAAATTTGTTGTTTTAATTCTTTTTGTTCTTTTAATAAATGATTATGATGTAATTTAATTTTTTGTAAATTTTTTTTAGTTAAATCAATTTCATCTTTTAATTGTTTATTATCATGTTGTAATTGAATAAGATTAGTTGTTCTATAATCATTTTGTTCAATGATAGAATTCAATTTAGATACTTTGGAAGTCATCTTATCATCATTATTATTATCATCATCATCATGATTATCTTGAAATGAATGAATATCCAATAATGTTGCACCAGAAAATGTTTCATTCTCTATATTCACCTTAGAAATTACATCTTCTATGTGTGAAGAATTTTTTAAAGTAAGTTGTGATTGTAATTTTATAATACGATGTTTTAGTGCAATGATTTGTTGTTGTCGACCACGCCAATTTCCATATGTTCCATCGGGTTTTAATTTTAAATTTATTAACCAACTATTTAAATTTGGTATCCATTCACCAGTTTCTGATTCGATTACTTTTTTCGCTAATAATAAATCATGATTTAAGATTTGAATTTTTTGACGTAATTCCATAACAACAGATTCTAGTTTTTTTAATTTCTTTTTCTGCTTCTGCTTCTCGTGTTCTACATCGTCTGATATGTTTTCAATGTTTTCGTTCGTTGTGATATTGTTCTGTTTACATAAACTACATAGAACATTTTTGTTTGATGAGTTAACCGATTCACATTCCAACTTTCTAACTATTTGATATAAGTTATTGCATTTGTTTCGTTCACTCACAAGTGAAGCATTCAATTCTCTAATTTTTTTAGATAACTCAATGATTTTAAGTGAAGCTACATCTAGGCCTGGATCATTAGGATAATGTTTATTGGATTCATGCATAGTAACATTCTCTGTTTGTTTTAAATTCTCCTCATGACAGTAATCTGGCATTGTTTTGTGTATTTTATTTTCTATTTACTTGAGTAATCATTCTGATGTGCTTTTTTAAAGGATTGTACTACTAAAAAACAAAAAAATCAAAGAAGTATGACAAAAATGCATCGTAACAATTTAAAAGGTTAAAAGTTTATGATTAAAATAGCTAGAACGAAGGTCTTGATATTTTCATCATCGTTTATGTTGACAATCTTGAAATAGTGGAACAATTCACTGAAAAGTTACACTTTCAATTTTCTCCCCCCCCCATCAAACTTAATGCTCATACATTTTAGATGGAATCTGTGTGTTATAATTCTGTCTTACGGTTATAACCCAACTATTCCTATTGCTTAGTATTCTCAGACACCGATTCACTCGACAAGTCCCCCAAATCAGAACACGGTTGAACAGGAAAGAGATTATATTCTAAATAACAAGGTTAGATGGAAGTAAGAAGCAAGCAAGTGCAATAGGGAAAACGTTAGTATATTAATAGTTTTTCACATGAGAAGATTCCTAGAGTGTTCACTAAGTATTGCCAAACGCTGGTTGGATAAGAATGAGCCAATCAGCGTGCACCAAAGCAATCGTGCATTGAGCATACTTTAATCCGGTCGATGTCCCGCTAACACTGTGTTCAGTTCCTTTCTATAAATCATTTAAGACTCACTTGACATTCTTATTCTTCCATGGCATTCCTTTTTACCTTCCCAAGACAAAATGTACCAAAATAAATACATGTAATACTTTTACAATGAATATATTATATACTACAGAGGTATCTTGAAGATAAGCAACGATTTCGTTTTTATTTATTATCTCTCATTGTGGATGCGTGTAAAACTTTAAAATAATACTAGGTTGCATCGATTTGTCTGTTAAATAAAATGCTTCTGTATAGATAAAGAAACTATTACTGAAGAAGGGGAAGAGTGATATATGACAAAATCGCTTATATAGATTCCTACAGTATGCTTTTATTTGAACGAATATATGACTAGGCATTCTTTGAATTTCTAAAACCTAAGGCTTTAAAAAACGTTCCTACCTATATATTTTTGTGAATAAGACAAAGTAATGTGCACATATGAATAAATCTAAGTAGATTATAGTCTTTCAGGTCAATATTACTTACGAAAAACATAAGATTCTGTAACATTCCAGTCCTATGAGAGCCCTATCGTGATCAAAATAGCCCAGTCATAACATTTTAGACTGTAGCACTGCTTGCCATGCGTTCGATTGTGATAGGAAGCACCGCTCCCATCAAAGTTGCAGATATGCCTCCCTAAACACAAATAAATGGCACAAAACCGAGTACCAGGACTCTCTCATGACTACCATGATTTGAACTATCTTTATCTCAGTGAAATCCTAACAAATATAACGTGTCAAAGCGTTGATTGAACTCGTGTAACATACAATCGAATAAGTTAGGTCCGAAATCATTTCTCAGTATTCTGTACATCAAAATTAGATCTTCCTTTAATCTGCGACAGGACAGAGTAAAGAGGTCCAGCTTTTCGAGCCACTCTTTGTATGGTAAACCCCGGAGTACTGTACTTTTTTCTAGGATATCCAAATCGCCTTTTAAACAGGGGCTTGCAGCCTGAACGCAGTTCTCAAGCTTAGTTCTCACTAAGGATGTGTATACTGTAGTGGACATGGTGGTATCTAACTTAGTGAATGTTCGTTTTAAAGCCCATAGGGTTCGAAACCCCTTAGCTACGACCTCCCGGCAATCGGCCGTCGTCTTAAGATCATGACTCACTGTCACCCCTAGATCTTTATGAGACCGGACCATTGATAATGGCACTTCCCCTATGCTGTACCTATTAACCTTTGAATCCCCAAAGTGCATGTAGACACACTTTGCCGCGTTTACAGGCATCAGCCACTCTTTAGACCAGTTAATCATATTATTTAAGTCTGCCTGAAGAGCATATGCGTCTGTGTCTCTAGTTATTACTCGCTAGATCTTTACGTCGTCAGCGTATAATAACATTGGAGACTGTACTATACTTGGAAGATCATTAACATACATTATAAAAAATAAAGGACCTAGGACGGAACCTTGAGGTACTCCACTAAGTACTGGTCTCCAGATGGAGCACTTGGAATTTATTCTTATTTTCTGTCTACGACCTACTAGGAAATCCCTAATCCATTTTAAAAGAGGTCCGGCAATACCAAGGTTTTCCTAATTTAATAGCAGTCTATTAGTTGGCACCTTGTCAAAAGCCTTACTGAAGTCTATGTAGACAAAATCCACTAAGTTTCCGTTGCCTAGTGCCTCTATCCAAAATTCCCTTGCTATAAAAAGGTTCGTTGTACAATATAGACCCTTTCTAGAACCATGTTGTTCTATGTTTAGCAAGTTATTGATTTCCATAAATGCCATTATAGTTCGTTTGAATATTCTTCCCAATATTTTAACTACAACACTAGTGAGGCTTACAGGTCTGTGGTTCGATGGAAGTTGTCTTAGTCCTATTTTATGCACGGAAGTGCCGATCGCGTCCTTCCAGTCCATGGGTAACACACCTTGGTCAAGTGACATATTGAATATCACAGCCAGTGGGGCCGCGATATATTGTGCAATATGTATATAAGATTTTGGGGCGTAGTTCATCTGATTCTGTTGACTTTTTCATGTTTAAGGTGCTAAGAGCCTTAAGCACATCGTCTTGATCGAAGCCCACAGTGAGCAGGTGGTTTGTTGACTCTTTATTTTGATCCGGTTCTTTGTCTAAAGGAGGTTCCTGAGTGTAAACTGCCCCAAAATAGTCAACCACAGAATCTGCTTTTTCCTGATCTTCATCTATCTGTTCAAATTCACCCCATTTTTTAATTAGGTTTGGAATCCAATGATCCATCCTTGTTCTGTAGTTTATGTACGCGAATATTCTCTTGGGCTGCTTGAGTGCAGATTGTGCCAACTGCATTTCATATTTTCTTTGAGCTTCCAGAAATTTTGTTATACACTTGTTTCTTACCGATCTGTAGCGTTCCATCGTACCTGCTGTGCCAAGGTGGATGCCAACATCCCAACATTTCTTTTTTGTCCTAGTAAACGTCGAATATCCCGGCCTATCCAGGGATTGCCGTGCTTCTTCTTCTTTGGAACTGTCCAGGGTATGTATGGTTGAGTTACCCGATTGTATAACTGCCTGAAAAGAGTCCATGCCTCTTGTACTGATGCCCTTGAGTCAATTTCCCAGGTTTTAGCCGATGCTGCGGAGTTGATTGCCTTAATATCTGCCTTCAATATATTAGGACGGGCCGGTGCAACTGTTTGACAGGCAACCTCAGCCATGAATTTCAATAATATGACTGCATGGTCACTTCTCCCTAGTGGTAGGAGGAGAGTCATCTGACCAACGTCATCACCGTGTGTGAAGACTAAATCTAAAAGAGAAGAAGAATTTCTTAAGTCATATCTTGTGGGGTTTCTAATGTGTTGGAACAAAGCTAATCCAATCGAGGTTTCTAACAGTTTGGAGTTGAACGACGATATAGATGACTCTACTTCTAAGTTAACCCAGTTTATGTACGGTGCATTAAAGACGCCTACTACAGGGCTTTTACCCTTGTTACACCAGAACTCAAGTTTACTTTGGATAAAATCATCTGCTACACGTTCTGGAATGCTGTATACTACAACTAATTGAATATCTTGCCGTCTACATTTCAGCATACATCGCACCAGTTCACATGTTCCTGAAACATGTGCCACTGTCTCAGCTCCTCTTATGGTTAGGGTACTTTTCGTGTACAGGATAACCCCGCCTTCCCTACAGTTTAATCTGTCAGCCCTATTGGTTAGAAAACCAGTCAACTGAATTTCATTATCTAATAATTCTGACGTTAACCAAGTTTTTGAAACAGCAATAACATCCGGTTTTTCTTTATTCACCACTGACTTGGGCTCCACCATTTTATTTGGTAGGCTGCGAACATTTGTTTAGCATACCTTTAAGTCTGTGGAGAACTTTCCCTTACCACCCAGAGTGTTTTGGGGATCGTTTTGCTCCGAACTTTTACAATTTGAAAACCCTTAAGAACGAGGTTGCCTTCACCGTTTTGGCGACGCTCATCTATTTCCACTTCTGCAGTTCGTCTCTTAATACGCTCGGCTAGGCTGAGATCCTCACGGAAGTATATTCCGGATCCAATCAGTTTACGTGAGTTACCTAGGATCAGGTTCCTTTTTCAACCGTGGAAAATGTAACTTTCAAGAGGCGGCTTCTCTGAGGACTTTCAGAATCCACTTTTTGTCCTATTCTGTAAAGCTTACAAGTACCAACTCCTGAAACTGTATCTGGGAGTAGTTTGCTTATTAAGGACTTAATATGACTGAGGTCGTGTTCAAATCTAGCCTTTGGTTCCTTATCTGAAGATTCTCTTAACTTATGAAAAATGACTGACCACTCAGAGAGGTCTGTCTTAACACGCAGTGGAGTTTTTGTTTCTCATACCGTCTCTTCCAATGACTTGATAACCAGATGCTTTTCGCCTACAGCTTTTTTCTTCTCATCTCTTTCTCTCCGTACTGAAGTCCATTTATCATCACTCAGTACAGCCACGCCGGGACTATTTGGAACGGTAACAGTTTTATCCGGGTCTTCAATTTCCACTGAAGGTGTATGATTACCAATGTCAATATCAATCGGCACTTCACTCCTCGTTAATGTTAACGGAGATTTCACTTTCCCGTCAATCACAGTCGGATGTTTAACGGGTCCGGTAGCAACACGTACTACACTGACACATTCTTCACCGTCAGTGCTCGTGTTATCAGCGCAACAGCCATCGTTTTTCTTACAGGCTAAAGCCAATAGGCTCATAGCCTTGTGGATTAGTAACTTCCTATTTGTACAGCAAAAAATACAAAGCCAATGCGAGTTAGGCTTCGAGCATCTTTTGTATGCCGTAGGACTTAGACGTGTACACATCTTATGGTATCACTTTTTACATTCATCGCACTGCATTCCTTCCTCAACGGTGAACAAGAAGTTTGGTTGTCCACAGTTATAAGTTTTACTAACCATTGTGATTTGATATAAAAGGTTTAAAAACACAATATGATTACAATGTGAACACGAGTGTCAGTCAATAAGTAAAAAAAGGTAGCACAGGACAAATTTTAGCAAAAATTTCGAACCTTAACCGAAGTACCTTTAGTTAAAGTAGACCAAGAATGCTTTTTGGTGCATAAAGTACATAAAGCAAGGAAAATCACAAGTTCAAAAATCACTGCCCTTTTTTAATCGAACGCTTATAGGGGACTTCCATAGATGAAGTCAGTAAATTTCGCTTTACACACACAGATAATTTACCGGAAGAAAAGTACTTAATAGTCAAATGAAATGCAAACTAGTAAAAATCATAAATTCGTGTAATGAGCGAGTAGATCAGTTGGTTAAAATCGCCGTTAACGGCAATCCCGTGACTAGATGAGTATACGCTCGAGGCCCAATTAGCTTTCAACTGGCCAATTAAGGTATAAATCCAATCAAAAAAACTAATTTAAAATTAAGAGCTCCCGTCTAAATCTGTTAATAATGTTCAGTTTGATATATCCAAACTACGCCGCAAAACCTATTAGTTATAATAAATTATGTCGAGATGTTTAAACAAAAGCTACCTTGAGACAAAGTTCAATCGTACTTCGTATATACAGATATCTGTATTTAAATATGGTCTTGTTGTGGCAAGTAACTCCCCTAAGTAAATGGTTCTGCAAGACCTTAACAGTGGATTCTGACACCGTTTTACTGGACACACCTGGCTGAAGACGCTTGACAACGCAACTATACTATATCACGAGTAAGCACATTGTGCTATGCATTCCCTGTGACTGATACACAGCTCACAACAAACACTTCTCAACACATCGATAGCTTACCAAATATATCTTCCAACCACTACACTTCTGACACCTGATTTGAATGGGTTGGTATAATTCGATTATAAAGGTGTCACGTGTAAAGACGTTATAAAGCTCCGAATCATGTGGCATCTTTAGTTGTGAGCTCGATGTGATCCGGTACATCGAACAATAAACTGTGAGTCTTCTGTTCGTTATTAGGACATTGAATATCACATTTTTATTCCTACATTTAGTCGTATTGTTCCTGTATTTTTGAATATTTTATAGCCTATTTGTACGGGTCACCCTCATGTGGTGGGACAGACACCTAAGTTATTTAGGATTAGAACTCTCTCGCCTCCCAGCTTTCAACTCATACCATTCTGGCCCAACAACATATAAGACTGGTTCACTATACAGAATCTGACGTACACGAGCACTGTGACAGACCACGTGCACAAGTATTCGCTGTGGTGAAGACACTCCCAAACAATGTTAACAGGTGCATCACGCCTAGTGTGTTTACTAGTGACTTCTCTGAGCGTTACGACACTCGTAAGAAAACCAGTCCTTAACGTGGAGACCTGACTGACCGACAAGTGTTAGACCATGAAGGGCCAGTGAAATGTCACTGAGCCCTAGCCAAATCACCCGGCAGTTGGATCAGTGAATGTCGAACAGATCATCGCTCCATGCCATGGTCATGTACAACCAACGCGCATTAGTTAATCGTATGTCATGGACTGGCCCATGAGGCAGTGTTCTTACTTTCGCTTGTATCCACTTTCACTAATATATTTCTGTAATAACGTCCTTTGTGTTGCACAGTCTTCAAAGCATCGATAGTACCTTGTTATGTCAACGGGGGTAGTCCGCGTAAGGTGCTGACCACGAGGTGTGACTTCGACGTTAGTTGGTTCGTCACACCATTCACGTCTAACTCGAGTAGGCCTCTAATCATTTCGACATAGATCATCTGCGTTGGTGATCTACAACCAATTCTTCCAAAACTTCTGTCTACAGCATGCTCAGTAACAGAAATGTCGCTATGTATGTGGGAGGTCATCAGTCAGCGTACCTTCTTTGAAGTCCTGTTTAGACAACTTTTCTTGAATCGGTTTCCCCAACAGGTGCAGCTGGTTCCCATCTCATTTCAAAATAACGCCGTGGACGAACTGGGTGGATTTGTCTATAGGGCTCCGAAGATCTCCGGAACAGCAAGCGCCGATGCTCCTTCCGTAATATAAAAGTCTAACGTGACAAAAAATGACGTTACCAACCTCTGCCATACTCTCACACGGTATCCTTATATGTATCATAATAATAGAAGCTCTTTAAAACGTCGAGGAAGCTCTTCACGAAAAATATATGTCTCTAAACTACGATAGTCAGATAATCCTGAATAATGCTAGTACCACAAAATGTATGGTAAGTCCTCTTGAAATTGTAGAAAACCTTGTAGTTTCCCAAGCTCCAAGCCATCTGTCACGAAAAATCTTTCAGCAAAGTTCCCGCCAGGAGCGTGGTAACGGCAAACAGAGCCGTCTGTTGCACATCATTGATGTGATGATAAAAGAAGAGTAAGTTTTCTAGAACGCTTGAACAAATATTATGTGTGGGATGCTGCCCAACATTTCGTTTTACTTCGCTTGTTTGTACTGATGTGTCAATATATACATATACGTGTATTTTCTGCTCTTTAAAAAATCTAAAGACATTCATTGTGCAAAATTTTTTACAGTTCGTCCTATCTCATCAACAATGTCTCCGGATTTCATCTTGGGTAACAATCAAGGAGCACAAAATTATACGTTTATGTTGACATCTTTGACTGACTGGTTATGCACTTACGGCGTTACTTGTTATTACAAATACTTCTAGACTTTAATCGCACTCATTCATGACCGCCAATCGCTTGTCGTATTTCAACCTCCACAAAACGCGAAACTCCTATATTGGACATTAGCCTTTCTAACAATTATGTTCTGATGTACGAAAATTAATCCCCTGTTTCTGTTTTCAGTGTGTCCCATAATATATCAACCCCAACTATGTAAATGATTAAATTAAATCCTGTACCACTTGTAAAAATTTGATCTTGCCTGTAAACTGGCATGTCTCATGTAACATATTGTTATTTGCGAGTATAGTTTATTGTTATCGCATATTATCAATGCACATGTAAACCAGTTAATTTTTTCTTCGTACGTTTTGTGTCATGACGAATGTATTTTTAAATGCACCTTCAATTTCATTCTTTTTCTTTTCCAGGCAGCTAGAAAAGATGAAAAATCGACTAATGGAAGTTTTCACCCTACTTTTTTTCATTGCTATATTTTGCCACATTGCCCCTCTTATTGGGTAAAGACGACCAGATAACGCTGAATATAGCAAGCTGTCAGAAGAGTACTTAACAACGTCAAACTCATCCAGCCCAAACTTCTGACAGGTAACGTCTTGGGGTCGTCACTGCCACACTAAGGGGTGGTTCCTGTGGGATTCCTGGGGATTTGATCGGACAAATTCATCTGGTGGACGGTTTCGAGAGTTTCCTAATAAAAGAGATGAAAACATGTGTCTACAATCCAGTTTAGGGTTGTGCCATGATATTCGGATATTCAGAGTTTGATAATGAGACTGAACTTAAGCAGGTATTGTAGAGAATTTCCATGGGTGTTCAAGATGTGAAACTAGTCGGTCTGTCAAATATCTTAACTCATTAGATAGAGCTTAACCTCAGTGTAGTGCACAACATACCAAGCAAATAACATATACAGAAATATTTAACCCCAAGTTTCCTAATCTCTCTCCACTTGCTGATAATCCTGATCTGGTTACTGAACTAGACTTCAAAGCGGAATCCTGTTTGCCTGAAAATGTAACACAATATGCTCGCTGGAGGTTCTACAGATAAGCACTAGCTTGGACTACATTTTCCCCAATCAAGCAATAAAATTTTCAGACTTAGGGATTTCATAATCTCTTATTCGAAATGGTAACATCTTGTCATTCCATAAATGAACAATCATCCGAATATACATGATACAAAACATTATGAAGAACTGACTGCAGTTTTGGTAAAATTAAGTCTTTGAGGACACTACTGCTTACGTAACACTGACCCATAGACGTGGACGAGCCATTGCATCCTTTTAAGAACATCACCATCCTGTCAGTCGATTGAGATGATTCTCGCCAGACAGTAATGCGCGGCGTCTTTTAGATTCTTTTATTGGTTGAAGGTTAGTATCCCCATTGAGGTCAGGAATTAGAATGCTTCCTGGACTAAATGGCATCCCCCTAATTGTGCATATGACTAATCATACCTCATGAACTGTAGACAAAAGTTAAATGGCGCAGATGAATATATCAGTCTCGGTTGAACAATTCTGCTAAACTTTGTGGTGAGGTTTTGCATAACATCACGCGGAAAAAGGGGTCTCGTTCCAGAATTCACCTTTGATAATCAGGTTACTGGTCCGTTCACATCATAGTCTACCATAAGACATTCTTAACTAAGGGTTTCCACGGCCATCTGGGAGGCAACTTGTGTACTATTGGTTGTCGATAAACAAGAAACTGGATAATGTCTCTCTTTTTGACACTGTAAATCTGTTTCTTTCTGAACGCTGCCTCGTCCAATGTAATCACAGCCATTTCAAAAATGCTTCGAAGAACAGCCGAACAATAATATATATATATATATATATATATATATCCATGGACTACCAGGGTGACTGACTGTATGCAGTAATACACTATTACATGCATCTTCCCGTCTTCATTCCTGACATCATTTCCTTCTTTCCTACTTATTTGTCATTATTGTTCCACCTATGGTATCTAATGCCGTTGTAACCAGCAAGTTTAAACTAACATATCTTTTTGTGATGACGTCTTGATGATAAGGGACGGTTTTTTATCTTTGATATCCCGAAATGAGTCTAACTCCCTGCTCAGCTGAAGTAGTCCAAGTAATCTAACGACATAACTTGGTCGATAACTTGGTTGATATAACTGGATTATGAGTGGGTTTGTAGGGGGTTGTGGGATTACAGCGAACGGCAGTTATCTCATTAGTCAGGCAGTGTTTGATTGATAGTAAGTCGTGAAGAATTCTAAGAATAATGTAAGTAGAAATGTCCTACTGTTTCATTGTACACCACTAGGCACTACCTGCAAAACAACCGTTTTAGATCACAGTTACAAACATCCATTCCAAAACAACAAGTGTTTATTCGATGTAGACTGCCTTAGTTTGGTGAATGTTTGTGCGTTAGATGGGCACTATAGGTAGTTTTCCGTCATCGACCTGAAATCCATGGTGGGAAGTCAGTTAAGCTATTTGTAGGGTCGACCTCTTCCAACCCCTTCCTTTTAATACGGGGAGGTAGTATCGCTCTGAATTATGGCTGTGTTAGGGAAACATCTACCTGCCACCATACTCCGAAACACTCAGCAATATGATCATGTTGTCGAAACTCTGGAACTTGTACAAAATTCGTTTCGTGAGCAAACCAAAAAGAGCAACGGTACTTTTCTTCTTCAAATAAATCTTCTAGTGCTGATTGTATTCAGAGGTGAAAAGGTTTTTTCGCTTTTATTTAAGCCGGATTTTTCTGTAACGGTTACACACAAATCTCACCTCTTTGTGTTCAGTATCTATAACCTTTGAAGCCTTAAAACACTTATTATAGAGGTCAGTTTTTCTGTTTGTTTATTTTTCTTGCGCTCTAAGAAATTATTTATTGTTCTCTCCGTGTGATCACTTAACAATATTAAAACAACGTCAAGGTAGACCCGCTTGCTATTTCCTGGCCGATGATGGAATACAAAGTAACAGCTGAAACAGGTGTTATCACAACGTATGCACCAGACTCACACCTGTTGAAAGTCACGATCACACTGGCTGCACAAAGCATGCCGTTCTACAAAGTGTCTGCCAACTTTTGAGGTGATTGAACGGCCAGAAGTAGATGATCGCTTTCAGTTTTTGAAGAAGCAGAGAGTGTTATAATGAGCCCAGCTTTATATTTGAATGAAACCATAAGGGTGGACAACAATAACGTAACGGATAACGAATGCATGGTTACAAGTAAAAGGAAAAATCACGCTAAGAAGAAACATAGTATAGGGGACTCCAAGTTATGTTGGTCAACGTTTTCAGCTATAGATACCCATATCGGCGCAAAATAGATTATGGGGGAGCACAGCCTGAGTGGTTTAGATGATGTGATCAAGAGATATAACACGACCAATGATTGGTCCACAGTTGCACTCAGAAAAGTACAGAGACAGAATGAGACATTGTCGTCTGACGCCAAACCGGACTGCAGGCATGAGTAGATTGTAGGAAAAGAAACTTCAAAGACAAACCATGATGAAATGTCAGTCATTTCTGATAAATCAAGAGAGTCTTCCAATACGAAACCAAAGGCTAGATTTAAACACTATCTGGGCCGCACTAAGTCCTTAATAAGCAAGTTATATCCAGGTGTTAGCATCCATAAGTTTTGTAGAGTAGGAAAAATAACTGATTCTGAAAGTACTCAGAAATTCCACCATATTGGGGAGACCCAGAAAAAGACTAGACGGTCCTGAAAACACTAGGAAACATTTAATTCAATCAGCATCGACTACAAGCTTCTCGGAAATATCTAGAAAGGGAGGTGTCATGTGTCATATTTCTGAGTGCTTCGATGTTTAGAAATATTTCAGAGCTTTCCAGAAGCATAAGACAATCTGAAATGCTGCAAATACCCTCGTTTTCCTGTGCACAAGCTGACCTTTGAGTAAAGCGTTCCTTCGTGCCTTTTCTCAAGTGTTCAAGTTGCCATGTATATATGGCCTAGGGGCTGCTAAAAGAACATAGAAAACTGAAACAAGACTTCAGTCAAAAGATTTACTACATATCCTGAAATTTACCTTTTGCTTCTGGTGAAGAAAATTCGGGTATAATCACTTGACTCCGAATATATGTTTGTGAGGACCTCGAGACGATTGCCAGAAGTAGAAATAAATGAGCACCACCGGAACAGTGAATAAACCTTATACTTAAAAGTTTCCAAATTCTAGATATTCAGGGTAAAACGATCCCAAATCACTCTAGGTGGTATGAGAAAGTTCTTCATAGAAGTAAAGTATGCTATACAAATGCTCTCAGATTACTTAATAAAATGGAGGAACCCAAAACAGTGGTAGACACAGAAAACCCTGATGTTATTGCTATCTCAGAAGCATTATCCAAGTCAGAAGTGCATGACAGTGCATGCCAATCGTCTGGTTTCTTACTTAGTATGGCTAACAGATTAAACCGTAGGGGTGGTAAGGTTATCTTGCACGCGAAAGTTACATTAACCGTACGGTGGCACATTTCTGACAGTTATACAATTATGTAATTGAACCGTTTACACTCTGGACTGTCCCAAAGAAGAAGAAACACGTCCACCCCTGGATAAGCCGAGATATTCGACGTTTACTAGGAATGTAGCTATCAGTATTGACACAGCAAGTACGACGAAACACCACAAGTCGATACGAAATAAGTGTACAATTTCAATCAAGAAAGCTCAGCAATAATATGAAAAGCAGTTGGCCCAATCTGTAATAAAAAGCAACCTAAGAGACTATTCTCGTACATAAACCATAGAACAAGGACGCAGCATTCGATTTTTACAACCCAGTCACGAAAGGGAGTGGATCCTGGAAATCATACAGAGGGCAGGCGCGTGCAATTTCAGAGCTCCTAAGTTTACCATGCAAAAAGCAGTTTGTAAGGTTAAACTTCTCTACTCTGTTCTACCACAGATTAATAGGTGACCTGATTTTGATGTACAGAATACTAGGAAATGATTTTCGACTTGTTATATCGTCTCTTTTTCTTCCCACTAGATCGGAACATCTCAGAGATAGTATCAGACGAGAGGAAAAGTCAAGAACGAACAAACTACCTGTGGCATACAAGTTTTCACACCAAGTCATCAATTCCTGGAAACTGTTACCCGAAACAGTGGTGTCCGCACCTTTAATTGACTCATTCGAGAGAAGACTAGACACTCAAAGAAGCTTACTAGAAAAGGACTGACATAGGCCGTAGGCCTTCTATCCTTACTACACAAATCCGAAACCGAAGCCTGGAAAATGTTGACTTTAGTGTTACCGATCTATAAATAACCGGTCTGATATGGTAAGACCTAAAGGAAAGTTCTGTCCAGTCAACTTATTCAACTTACACCATGAAGGTTTGTAAACCTAACCACTAAGCTAGGGTAGCAGCTTTAGTCAAGTGTCCACAAGTCTCTTCAGAATGATGTCTATACAGACATGGTTCGGTTGAAAGAATCTCCTAGATAAAGCAAGCTACTGAACGCCTGCTTGAGGCAAAGTGGGGAGTTGGAATGTATAAAGATTTCCGTCAATGCGTATTCGGTAATAAGGAGCGAGTGAAATATAGAAGTGTCGGAAGAAAACCTGCCCAATAAAAACCTTGCCTCCAAACCATGGGCGAACGAAAAGTAACTACGTTAGTTATGGCTCAGAGAACACTAAAAGGGGATATTCAGTTGTTTTTGGACTTCAAGATGTGATATTTATGAAACACGAAGTCGCTGAAGATCTGTGGTTCTCCATTACAATGGTTTTTACCAAATAACTCGGTAAGTCGTCTCGTAAGCTATTGAGACGGAGGATCGCACTGTACTATGATAAGGTATGTGAATACTCAGTTTAAAGAATAGGTCGATAGCTGCCGTCTACCACTTCCCTTATTTTTGTGACTTTCTAAAACCTAAAGTAACTTGAAATACATCAGTGAAACTCGATTTAGAAGTTCTAGTACAACAGTTAGGTTTCATTGAATAATACGACACACTTGCGAAAGACTCAATTCGTATTCTCCAAGGTTATCCTTGTAGCGTCTAATGTCAGTTTAGAAATAGTATAGTTTTGGATTTATTTTCTTGTCATATTGAAATATCATCATGTAAAGAGAGAGATATTCAATATTGTTTTTGTTAGCCATGCTTTGCTCCCTTAAAGAAGACTTGAAATCCCTAGAAATTATACTAGCTAGCACTTCAACACGTCGAAAAGAAATACTCGGAAACATTGTAATTCATTTATCTGACTAATTAATCATTATATTTAGGGTCTAAAGTTCTCCTCTGTTTGTCCTGATGTTGAAGAGTCACTGCCTTCAGAAAACTTTCAATCAATACCAGCTCATATCGAAGCCATAGCTAAACTTAAAGTGGATGCAGTGGTGAACACTTTGGATATCAGTAAAGTTTGTTCACTTTTTTATGTTCGTATTAATGAAAGCGTAACTATGTAGTCATAGGAGCAGATACTGTGGTATGTTTTGAAGGTTGTATTTTTGGAAAACCATCAAGTCACGTGGATGCTGTAAATACACTTACTCGGTTTGTGACACATTTAATCTATAACATTTGTAGTTTGAGTGGGAACGTTCACCAAGTGATAACCGGTGTATGTTTAAAGTGGATTGTATCTGGGAAAGAACAGAAAATTGATCAATTTCATGAAGTAACAAATGTAAAGATGATTGAATTAAGTCCTCTCATTATTGAGGGATATGTTCAGTCTGGAGAGCCAATGTATGTCTCCAGGCGGAGTAATTATGATTTTACTAGCATCATTCTCATTTCAGAGCAACATAGATTAGTGGTAACTGTTACCTATTTTCTCTAACGGTTTGAGATAAGTTACTTAACTGCTAAATAGGTATTATCTGTTTCATATCAGTAGACAGTAGGATACATAATTTTCACAGATAGGTAGCATGACTAGGTTCATGTCTTATTGTGCTAGCCTGTGTTATATAACTTAATCCCATTCAACTATTTGGAAACTAACAATTTATTGTAAAATTGATCAGTGGAAGTAAAACGAGCACACTGCAAGCACTTGACCATGTAGGTATTTTCTAATTGTAGTTTGAATCTAGCGAAATTACTAATCAATAATATGCTAGGTGAGAAGTGGAAATCGACTGATAAGGCTATAAAATGTCACCATTGTATGTATTTGAAACACGTTTTACTCATCTCTAGTCACCTCTTACTCTGGCATACATCACTAACCAGTATAAAAGTAGGTTAAGAGAAAGCCACCGTTAGGTCGCTCACAACCTACCACTATCACATAAAGTCATTAACTTTTGGTCTGTGTCATGTTAGAAGATAGAGATTTCCTGACCAACACTGACAAAACAGTAGGGAGTATACTCACTACATCTATAGCTGAAGCTGGTAGCTGTTCCTGGATGATGTCTCAGTTGGATTCATTCTCAATCCTCCCTTAAGTTTTGCTTCAAATCAGCTGCCGAAAACTTTAATAGATCTACTTATTTGTCTTAATCCTTCAGATAATTACTTAAGTTTTTTCATTGCATTAATTATTACAATCCTCATCATCCTATTTCAGGGATAAAGCTGGAGCTTATGGTATTCAGGGGTTAGGTTCAAGTTTAATTGAGCGAATCGATGGAGATTATTTCAGTGTTGTTGGTTTACCAGTCTGTCGACTTTGCAAGTACTTAAAAGCTGGATGTGAAGAAATAGTGTTTAAATTGTTAGACACAGAATTTTTATCCAGTCGAGTAGATGTTCCCGAGAAATAACTTTAATGTTAGTGAATATTCTGTCACTTTAAACTGGTGAAATGCTGTCCTAATTTGCTGAAAAATTAAATATTCATATTTTTGTTCACTTGTGTGATCATTATACAAGTGAAGATTGTACTTCTTCCACTGTCACCTTGGGTTTTTTAGCTAGGTATTTCGCAAATAATGTTCTGCACTTTCAGTGTGTGTGTGTACGTTAAAATCCATATCGTCAGTAAAATATGGTGTAAAGTATATAAAGAACCATGAATTTCATCTAAATGCAACTCACTAATCAAGTACACCGTCCATGTACTCATCTTTGAATGCGTAAGACTTCGAGATGCAATTGCTTAAACTGATATTTATGTACCGACTTTTTAAAATTTGATCCCTTTTTTTCATACTCGGTCAGTAGTATTAGATAAAAAAAACTTGCACAAGTGTGCTTAGGTTCAAGTTACTACATTTCATATGAGAGCAGAGAGGGGAAAGCAGTTGTAAAAACTAAATATAGAGAAAAGCTTAAAAGAACAAATGAGATGTAGAAATATGAGGTATAAAATAATGTAGAAACTTGTTATGCAGAATAATATAATGAAATGGACCTGAGACACAACAAATGATTTCAGCTCGTACTTTCTAATATTTTCAGCCAGTGATCATAATTTTGGTACAAAGCCCAATCAGGAAGTTTACGCTCACACTGTTCATAACAAGTCAGTCACCCTATGGGTTGATTCTAAGTTTGACATGGCTACCTCATATGCTGACCACTACTTTATGTGAGGCCATTCCCATTATATGTCAGCGTTATTGACTCTGTCGTTAAACCACTAAACTAGCGATATGATTATAGTTTTAGGTCGGAATCGAAGTAAATTATAGCTATAGAAATCCATTCACTCTGAATATCTTTAGCGTTTTACTCCTTAGATACAAATTGATTTATGTATTTAATTCATCTTGTATTTGTTATAGTTCAGACAATGAAGAGATAGGCTTTTACATTGCGGTTCTAGATCCAACCGTTCCAAGTCACTAGTCGACGTCTAGTTTATTAAATACCACTGAATATTAAGCATGTTTGTGACTTCACAAGCAAATACCGAGACTTATTTGTGTTATTGCTGTACAAACATATTTGTTTTACTAACTGCAAATACGTGTTTCTTATTGAATCTGTAAGTAAGCCTGTAAGCTGGGTTTCGTCCTAGTTAATGTTTCATAGTTGGAAGTGTCTCCAGGATCTAGGGAAGTAATGTCTTTATGAATATTAATCTGCATCACTTCAAATCAAAGTCTTGTTTATTACCACCGAACTCTTTAATAACCTGGTAAGATTGTTAGTCAGTGATACGTGGGAGTCGTTGCTTAGTTATTTTTCTTACTAAACCATAGGTTGTCATCATACCCAAGAGGATTATTCTCTAAGTTAAACCATGATTACAGCTTAGATTTTATAAAGCCAGATTCCAATTTTTATCATAATGAATGATTGTCGAATGTCTAAAAATTGAAACACATCGATGATATCCTCCTTTTCGATTCAGTGTTGAGCTAATTGACTGTTTAAAGCTATAGTACCTTTTGGTTTCCTGCTTTTTTGGAAATTTGTAAATACAAACCTAGTGCATGTGCTTTGGAAAATACATGTAAATTTACAAATGTAGTCGAATGTACTTACGAAAACTATTTATTGAATTTTGGTCTGCTTTGGTAAGTAGTTCGTTTAAGATGATGAGCCCTGCCTCTGTGAAAGCAGTCTATCGTTTTCTCTGAGATTAATGAATCCAATAGTTACATCCACTTTAAGGTTATGGTCTGGGAACTAAGGCTTTTTAACTGCATCGTACTTGTGTTTGTTCTGAATTTTCCCGTACTTATAAAGAATAAAAAATAGGTTGTGCAAGAAAGTGAAAAAATATACTAATGGTTATACAGGTTCAGTTTTACGTTTATAAGTTCAAGAATAAAATAATTGATCTTCTTGCATTTAAACTTAACAAGCGTTATGTTTTTATATTAAACTATCATCCTCACAATGGTATTAAGCATCTGTAGTGTGGCATTAATTATTAAGTAAAATGATCCGCCAAATTTTAACGAGAAAAGTGTATTGAGTTGCCAGTAAGATTCTATTAAAAGCAGTAAGCATAATTGATACATATATTTTGTGAAGTCCCAAGGGTATTTTGTCAATAAGATGAACCGTGAATTAGTATGAAAATCTTGTGTTCGAGAAACCAATTTGATCTTTGTTCGCTACTTTTTATCTCAAACGTCTGATCTGCATTAATTTTGTATTCTGTTAATTTCAGTTCGACTGTTGTTTTTCTATAATTACAGTCATATTGTGATATTTCACTTGACGAAAAACTTACACATATGTATATATATGTATATTAGCACTAGACATTCTACTAATCTTCTATTGCAGAATATCTTGTGAGTTTAAGTTTCAGATAGGGTTCACTTGTAAGAACAACTAATGATTAAATTGGAACCTATATAAAAAGTCCTCTTAATAAAATATGACTCAAATTACATTATAAAACTGTCTAGTGTCGTTAAACGGTAGTGCTTTTCTTTGTTTAATACTGGACTACTTCAGTCAGTCAGCTACAACGCAGGTCCAGATATATATATGCATCGGTCGAAGTTACCATGCCGCATTAGCAAGGCAAGATGAACACCGAATTCATAGAAGTAGTTAATTCAATGGGGGTAATATATAAAAGATGGCAATAAGGGTATACTACAGGAAGAAAGAATTAGTTCGTAGAAAGAAATATATGAAGTGATTTTAGTCTCTTAGTTTAAGGGAGGACAGAGAGTGTATATACCTACGCTATTGTGATCGATGCTAAGCCATGTCACCCACAGTCTCTAACCATTGATTACGATAGTCACGCGGACCCCAGTCAAGTAGTCTGCATCTATCAATATGGCTCAGACCAAAAGTTAGTGTCTTCAAGCACTGATGCCACGTTTTGTTTTGGCCGCCCCTAACTTTCTTCCAACCATCCCCAACAATAATCAGTGTTCAGGCATACGCAACACGTAGCCTAACCATCTCAGTCGATGAAGATTCACAACCTCATCAACTGATTTACCATCATTCCCCAATACCCTGTGTCTATCCTCACTATTACTTTACCGGTGATCCCAGAAGATGCGAGCAATATTTCTAAGGCATCTGTGGTCAAATACTAGTAGCTTACGAGTATCTTCTACTCTTAATGGGCATGTTTCGCTGCTGTAAAGTAAAACAGAACGAACTGCCGCACAGTATTCTCGTCCTTTTATTGATAGACGGATATCTCGCCTTCGCCATAGGTGACGTATGTTGGCGAAAGCCAAACGAGCCTTTCTAATCCGTGCTGAGACTTCGTCAGACACGAACCCATTAGGGCTGATCAGACTTCCAAGATAAGTGAGGTTGTCAACGCGTTCGACTACTCCACTCCCTATCCTTAGTTCAGGTGTTGACAAAGGCCAATCCTGAAGCAACAATTTGGATTTAGAGGGAGAGAAGCGCATCCCAAACATTCTGGCATTGTTGCTTAGTGCTACCAAAAGACTGCATTTTATCAGCGTCTTCACCAAACAGGACTATGTCATCTGCGTATTCTAAGTCGATAATTGGACCTCCTAGAAGGAGATCAACACCCGAGAATTCAGTAGACGAGAATGTTATTTCAATCAGTAGGTCTATGATGAAGTTGAACAAAAATGAAGAAAGTGGACAGCCTTGACGGACACCACTTGAGGTTTCAAAAGCAGATAACAGTTCAACATAAGCTCTGACTCGACTAGTAGTCTTCGAGTAAAGAGCTCTCGCAAGGTTTATGTACTTCTGAGGTACACCTTTCAGTAACAGACACCGCCACAGAACCTCTTGGTTTACTGACTCAAATGATGCTTTTAAGTCAAGAAAAACTATCATTGTCGGACGCCGATAAGTATGCCTGTGTTCTAGAACCTGACGAATGGTGAATATGTGATCGATGCAGCCACGACCAGGTCTGAAGCCAGCTTGATTCTCTCGTGTTTGCAGTTCACGAATCTTAGTTAGGCGTCTGATAATCATCGAGGCTAGTATTTTAGATACTATGTTAGTTATACAAATCCCTCTATGGTTGTCACAGGATGATTTTGGCCTTTTCTTATATATTGGGACGATAAGTTATTGTGACCAGTCAGATGGTATAACGTCTAACTCCCAGATTTTAGCTAAAATATTAGTCAACCTAATCGCTAAAATTGGACCACCATCCTTAAAGACCTCTGAAGCCAATCCATCTAGACCATCTGCTCTTCCTCGTTTCAGATTAGCTATAGCCTTTTGAACTTCTGCTAGAGTTGGGGGACCTACTTCAATGTTCCATTCACATTGTCTGGGAATGGAGGGTAGTTGTAGAGTAGCTGAACTCTTCTTTAAAATGTTCCGCCCATCGTTCTAAGCATGTGGACTGGGAGTAGATGAGAGTGTCGTTTTTTTCCGAAATAGTCTGACTTACACTTATTAACTCCAATTTCTTGTATTAGTCTGTAGAGCTGTCTTGTGTTCCCTATAGCCACCGCCTTTTCAATCTCTTGCTTTCGTTGATCACCACTGCTCACGGTCTTTCCTTAGACTTTTGCTTAACCTGGATCTGATTCGCTTACGCTCTTCATCATGTTCAGAACCTGATGGGATGAGTTTACGAGAATCCATCAGTGCAACAGACCTTGAAGAAATCCATTGGTTCTTTGTAACTCTGTGGTTTAAATCCCTTATAGATGTCACTGCTGTCTCCACAGCTGTTTGTATAACTTTCCAAGCAACATCTGGGTCAGCCCCGTTTTCAGAACTACCTAAGTATGACCTCAGTTGTTCCTGGAACCTGCTTTTGGTTTTCTCGTTACTCAATTCAGTTATAATGGGTCTACTTAGTGTGGCTTTTTTGCGTCCAGTGAGGCGCAAGCAGATGCGTGCCCGTATTAGGGCGTGGTCGGAATCCAAGCAGGTACTCCAGAATGAGCGACGATCTTCTATCGAACTTCTCCAACGATGACTGATAGCAATATGGTCTATTTGAGTCCATCGTTGGTTTGGTGCAG